AGATTTCTGGGAGTTGAAGTCCAAGAACATCTGGAGGCCCAAGGTTGGGGACACTGGCTCTAGGAGAAAGGGGACATATAAATATTTTAAATAAAAATAAAATTGGGCACCAACTGCTTGCCTACCTTAACCACTGGTAAATGGTCTTATTTGAATAGTGCTAGATGGCCATTTTAGACTACAGGTATTTTGGTTGAGTTTCTTGAAAGTTCCACACAGAGAGGTAGTGTCATTTTCCAAAAGCACAATATTTCTGGTTCCTGCAGAAGATAAATGCAGTCTTCTCTATTTGAAATTATTCCCTAAAAAGAGACTTTTACAAAGTTTCTGCCAGTTAAGTTTGGATAGTTTGAGCTCCGACTTTTGAAAAGCTAAATTTTGACTGGGGGGGTTTCCTAGGCCAGAATTTTAAGATCTTGTATTGCCAAACATATCCAGTTTATCTATAATATATGTTTGCTTGTGAATCACCATCAGTGAACTCACTGGGACTTAACTTCTGTAGTTCTGATTCCATCAATAGGTATGTAGAGATAAGGCCTAGTGTTGGAGAAAGGCCAGATATGACCATCCAGATGATGTTGTACTGCACTTCCCATCATCTGCAGTGAGCACAGTCAGGGTGAAGAATGCTGGTCATTGTGGTCCAGTAGCATTTGGCAGGCTGCGCTTTGCCCACCACTGAATTCACAACCATTGAATTAATGGAGTTTACATTAGAGTGTATTTGTGGTTGGTCAGTCGGTAAAACTTGCATTATGATGAAAAAACTTGTGTCGGGAAACTTGCATATATAGATTATAGATACAGGTTTAGTCTCAAACATATGCATTATTAGTATGTATATATATTTCACTTAAAAGATGTATACTTTGCATGTAGATAGAAATTGTGTTAGAAAATGAGTGCCATTGAAATAAAATACTAAGATTAAACTGGAGTTAAACCTACAGTAGTAGCATATAATCACATTAATAGGAACCGCATAGTAATTTTTCGGGATGAGAAGGATATGGGAGGATGAGATCTGGTTTGGGACTTAGCTAGAAACTCCCACCATTGTAGTGCAGTCTGAGGCTGGGACTACAGGAGTGGGTAGAATGCTGAAGATATAGACAAGCTTTTTGCAAAAAGGAAAAAAATAGTGCACCGTGGACAAACAATGTATTTCAGCCTCATACCTTCTATGCTGTCTTTCTATCTGGAAATATTTTTTTTAATGAAGACAAGCACAAAATGTGATCCTTTATTGCAGCTTATAATAATAATTCATTCTACAGTATCTCTTGAATGTAAGTATTCAGTATTTTTTCTGTATAGGCCAAGCTTTAAACTATTTGAATGGAGAAGTAGATTGTGGCATGCACATAACCTGTTATAACCATGGATTTGGGAAGATTTACATATAGGTGTTACTGTTTTTCAGAGCTGAAGAAAGCTAGTAAGCGCATGTCCTGCCACAAACGTTATAAGATACAGAAAAAGGTAGGTTTTTGCTGCTGTGTTCATCTATTGCATCTCAAATTAGGTATTTGATTAGGGTCAAGATAACTTTTCCCAAATCAGTACTGATATTTGTTCAACATTATTAGTTGCTACTGCTGCTGTAAAATTGCCTACATTCACAGAGTTGCTTTCATCAGCAGAATCAGGAGGGAACAATGCCCCTTGTTTACATACAGGATCATGCATCCCAAAATGTGCTTGGGGGGCTTGCTAAAAACCCTACAAGAACTGGTCTTCAAGAAGATACTGAAGGCTGCAGGGTGTGTGTGAGACACAGAAAGCTTTATCACATTACCATTCCTCCACTAGCACGATAGCACAGTCTTTGGAAAATAACTCTTTGCTTTAGTGCTTCAGCTTCATCATTGCTTCCTTTTCCCTATATCTGTATGTGGGACAGGAAGCAACAATTAGAACTGGATACGGAACAAGTGATTGTTTCAAAATTGGGAAAGGAGTAAGACAAGGCTGTGTATTGTCTCCCTGCTTATTTAACATATGCAGGATACATCAATCGAAAGGCTGGACTGGATGAATCCCAAGCTGGAATTAAGATTGCAGGAAGAAATATCAACAACCTCCGATATGCAGATGATACCCCTCTGATGGCAGAAAGTGAAGAGGAATTAAAGAACATCCTAATGAGGGTGAAAAAGGAGAGCGCAAAAAAAAAATGGTCTGAAGTGCAACATTAAAAAAACCTAAGATCATGGCCACTGGTCCCATCATCTCCTGGCAAATAGAAGGGGAAGAAATTGAGGTAGTGACAGATTCTACTTTCTTGGGCTCCATGATCACTGCAGATGGTGACAGCAGCCACGAACTTAAAAGACGCCTGCAGGGGAGGAAGGCGATGATAAACGTAGACAGCATCTTAAAAAGCAGAGACATCACCTTGCCAACAAAGGTCTCTATAGTCAAAGCTATGGTTTTTCCAGTAGCGATGTATGGAAGTGAGAGCTGGACCATAAAGAAGGCTGACCGCCAAAGAATTGATTCTTTTGAATTCTGCTGGAGGAGGCTCTTGAGAGTCCCCTGGACTGCAAAGAAAAACCTATCCATTTTGAAAGGAATCAACCCTGAGTGCTCACTGGAAGGACAGATCCTGAAGCTGAGGCTCCAATACTTTGACCATCTCATGAGAAGAGAAGACCCTGTGGAAAATACCTTGATGTTGGGAAAGAGTGAAGGCAAGAGGAGAAGGGGACGAAAGAGGATGAGATGGTTGGACAGTGTTATCGAAATTACCAACATGAATTTGACACAACTCCGGGAGGCAGTGGAAGA